AGTGAAATAGATTGACAACAATAAAATAGTCACTTTACTGAGCTAATAAACCGCCAGTTCATTTTGGTCGATACATACTTCACAGATTACATGCAAAGTCGAACTTTCACCTCAAAGAGACTCTATCTGATGGCAGATATTTCATATTATGCCGAATCTTCAGATTACATGAAGTAACGAATTTGACACATGAGAAATCGTAAATTAACTTTATGAATAGTCTGTCACGCGCAGCTTCTCAATAGCTGAAATGATATCGAGGACTTTCCACATACAAATACGACTGCCCTGCCAGGAGCAGTGTCATTGCCGTCCCGAATTTTCCTCATGCCATGACAGAAATAGATACTTTTGCAAGGCGATTGCGCTAATTACATTTTCACAGTTGTGTAAACAACAGATCATTAAGCACTTTAAAACGGCGGTGGGAAACAGGACTAAAAAAACTTCATGGAGAAAGTTACTACTACTACTCAAGAGCAAATAACGACCGCTAAACTACAGCAGCTCTGTGGAACTATGCTATTGGAAAGTGCTTTGAAGAAACCGTTTCTCGCACAGAGAATTCGTTTACGGTTCCGATCTTGGGCGGGACGACGAGTGGCCGGCCTGACTCCAAGATATGCACGATGAGGAGCACACTCCACACACGCGTCACTGCCTTCCTCACACTTGCAGTAGGGTTCATTATTGACAACAACATGCTTGCTTGCAGAGAAGAACCGGCGCACTTACCAAAGCACGGGTTTGTGAAGGTCTTCAGATGAGGACATGGGCTCGACGCGTATTCGGCTGCCCGTCGTCTGTCACTTAGCGCTGCAAGTGGAAGTGGCGAGGGACGACCGAAGAAGCGCCTCAGCTGAGAGGGGAGTAGGAGGCAATGAGCATCGACCGCGAAGCGTACCGACAGCAGCGACCAACGACGTCGACAACTGACCACCGATCGGCCAATGGTGTACATGCGTATGTAAACAGAAGTGACACAAGACGCGAAACGGCAACGACGACGCCCTACGTCATGTTCAGACGGAAGTGCACTATCGCTTTCAGAATGGACACTGTCGCCGACATCAATCAAGAAGTCATTGCGCCCACGCAACAGCCTCACGGAGGCTCATTCATGGCATGAAACAGTTCAATCATTAATTAGTTTCGATTTGACGTCGCTTGCCAAATACCCTCATTAATAAATTTATGGAAAGATCGTCGTCCCGCTAGGTTCGATTTGATTGTTTAGCTGAACATAGGCACTAACGAATACTTGTTAAAATGTTCCCTTTGGCTGAGGACGGTCGTGCATAGCTTTGAAAGTGCCTTCAGGCAATGAAGAAGGCATGTTCTGTTTACATGTACTGCGATGAAGCAAATGCTATTAATTGACTCGAGTGAAAACATGAAACATGCAGCGGTAAATTACGTTTATCATAACCTTTAGCATATTTGCTTATAATACTTCTGAGAAATGGCAATATCACCAGCAAGAGCTCAGATCTAATGACATGAAAATAGGATACGCGAATGCTTAGTTTCTGAGGTTAAAATTTTTGCGTGGGTGGCGTTCTCCTCAGACTTGTCTCTAAGGCGAAACTGTGTACAACATTTTGATCTGTGGGTTTCGTCAATCGAACTTTCCCTCGCCATTAAGTAAGTCATTAATTTCTCAATTAACCAGGAAGGGGTTCTAAAGTTTTATTGAAAACAGAAAAAACATTTTGCTGCTTTTGATTCAATTCTGATCGAACTTTTTTTTGTTATTACATCATTAAAAATTACGAATGGGCCTGTTAATTACCACATTCTTCTTGGCAGTTCCGCCATGACAATTAACAAATGTTATCAGTATCAGTCCTCACGTTCTGCTCAAACTTGACCTCGGTTTTTTCCGTCACAAGGAACCTACTTCAGTTAACATAAAGATCGCTTATTAAAGTGAGCCACGATTGAGACTCAGTTTCTCAGCGAGGAGACTTGCCTATAATGCTATAGTGAAAGCAGTAGACTTTATTCCCAGCTCAAATGCATCACAAAATGATGTACAAGTTTCACCAGCGCCAGCAGAGCGAATTTCCCAGCTTTTATCAGCGCGAACCATGCCATTTTTCCTCGTCTTCCGACATCAGCCATTAACCATCTCTACGTCAGATTCTCCGCCTTCTTGCCAGTGTCCCGTCGACTTATGGAATAAAAACAGTCTAATTTTCTTCAGGGGATTAATCAGAACTGCATTAGCAAATCTTCCTTCTCGTTTTGTAGTCACGTTCAGTTCACCTTGTTTAGATAGATCTACCCTAATGCATATTCAGCTTGTCAGTAGCGGTTTCAAGGCCTGGTCAGTCGATTATTTTAAGGTTAACTTTAAGTATGCAGGACTGTCGCTATGTCTTTGGACATGGATTTTACCGTAGTTAGCACTTCAATACAATAATTCAGCCCCACACTTTTCTCACTGGATCACATATTTTCGAAAATGACCGTATGAGGAAACCATTCTGAGAGAGACAGTAAAAAACGCCGTGCTGTTAGAAGTTGACACGATTTTATGTTCGAACCTATGTTTAGGAGTTTGAAGGGCAGTGCAACCATAAACCCAAAAAATAGAATTTATTACGATGGAGCCGCCTGCTTTGTTGGTCCGCTAAACTATTAGGTACGTAAAAGTAACACGTTTTCGGATTACAAGGATGTGGTACGTTTTCGACTCTATATCATCCCACTCAGCAGGAGCACGACCTACGAAGCTTAATCCCCAGAAACAGTGGCCAATAACAGAGGCCTTATATTACCGACTTATAAACCCCTGGTATGGACTTGGCTCGTCATAAACGATCGACGACCGCATTCCCACAGAACAAGGGCCCTCTAGACACCTCCTTCATTGTAGAAAGATTTAACTGAAACCCGCTAGTGCATGCAGCCACGGAGATCATACTATGCTGAACGTTATTTTCAAATCCTCCAGCATAACTGTTGTCCGGAATGCCACAGCGGCGGCAATTCATTGGCTTAGAAACCTGGACATTCGAATATAAATGTGTTATTCACTTGCCCCCATATGACAGAAGAAATAGCGGTCTAAATCTGACATTAGGATTTCAAATACCATATTTTCTAACGGCACTGGAAAGCATTTCTTAATGATAGCTACCGAGCAACATCAGGATTATATGATATTTGTATATAGAATTGGAGATCATTGTCACTCCTCTAGAACTTGTCGTAAAGAGTTAGCATTATGCCTTCTGTCAGTTGACAAAAATGACCGTCCAAGTTCCGAACGATGACTGACGAATTATGTGAACAGGGGGAAATTGTTCTTTCATGTCTCCATTGAAACGGATGTAATAAAAAACATTTTGTTTCATGATGGCGCCGAAACTCACGCCTGTCGCAAAAAGCCCACAATGGCTATCACAACAAGACAAAGAATTGGTTACGAATGTGTCACACCTAATCGATTCTGCATTGTACGACACACGGCACAGTCGTTCTGTTTCCAAGTGCCTAGAGAATTTACTTTTAGAATAATCCTCGACCCATAGTAGTTGAAGAACCACGGTAGGTAGAACACTCTAACGCTACCTCATTGGTTAAAATCCTGCCCCTCTAATTACCAGTTTTGCTTCTCTACCAGTTTCTTCGTGTGCTTCTGTGAAATGTCGAAAATATGAGCATGCTGGTCGGCATATTTAATAGAGCAATTAACCTCTCCAAGGCAAAATTTCAGGTCTCTTGGCACCGTCCACTTAATAAAATACTGTGACTGAGAGCCAATACTATAAGTGATCATAATATATTCATAACCAGATTCGCACTTTAGGCAACTGCACGCTGGTTTCTACTCATAACTATGAAATTTTCATTGTCGACGACCTCAACAGAGAGAAGTAAACGCAATAATGGTTCCACCTCAATGAATTTCTACTTTTCGCCTCGATAGATCCATTAGCAGAAATGTCCATTTGCCGATGTAAGTGATGCCGAATAACGACGCACTACAAAGAACCCTTTCTCACGCAAGCATCTTGAGAAAAGAGAATGCTGAAATGGCGCAAATTTTCCCCCATAATTTGCTGCAAATGTGTTACCGCTCTACTGAGATCGATCGATATGTTTAATCGACCGTCTGGTTCAATTTTATCACCAGATATGAAAAACCGTGTTGTAGAACAGTTGCATAGCATGATACGTTTTCTCGACTTCTTAAAGCACCTATCTTATAGGTCATTAAAGGTTAAAATCTTTTTCAAGTAACTTTTTCACAAATATATTCATGCGTTGCAAGGAACGAGTTTAAAACATTATAACCCACTCATTATTTCCCGGTAATGTTAAAAGTTCAGATATAAACGGGGGTACATCTGGGAAGTCTTTCGATACGTTTCGACGCTATTCTGAATTGGCTGATAAATTGATAATATTTGAACTTGAAAGGTCCACTAGTTGTCAGTTTTGCCCAGACCTAAGTACACATTAATACATCCAATGTGCACATATTACCTAGTCATTGACGGGTTATATACTTGGTGTTAAACAACTGGTGGCTATTAACAAAGAGTTCACTGCCAAATCATTTAGTTGAAACATCCTGATGTTACTGTGCTCGTTACTTGATTAGCCTAAAGCAACGATAGCAATAGCTTGATGCGAGTTTAGCACAACACT